CATCGTTTTGGAGACGTCTTGTCCACACACCCCACAACAAAATGGGGTGGTGGAACGCAAGCATCGACACTTGCTTGAAACCGCTCTTGCCCTACGTTTGCAAGCTAACTTACCAAAGACTTTATGGGGAGAATGTGATTTAACAGCGACTTATGTCATCAATAGAATGCCCTCGAAAATTCTGCATGGGGCCACGCCTTATGAGGTCCTGTTTAAACAAAAAACCCTCATACAAACACATGCGGGTGTTTGGTTGCTTGACCTATCATCGGAATATAGACACCGGGGGAGACAAGTTCGAGTAGCGTGGTAAACCTGACATCTTTGTTGGTTACCCACCGGGCACCAAAGGTTACAAAATATATGATTTGGAGAGTAGAAAAATAGTCATTTCACGGGATGTTCGATTTCTTGAAAACGACTTTCCCATGAACCATGCCAAACCCGATGAACAAATGCGACATGAGGACCTATTTCAGCTTGACGAGAAAACAAAAATACTTCAATTCCTAATAATGTTATGTCATCTGACGTTGACATTGAGGATGGAGTGGTAACTAATGAGCCAATGGAATCTGTGTCTGACCAAGTTACTGATGAGACCACCGCACATGTTGAAACACAAACTGATGATATAAACATCACGTCAAGTCCAGATGCAACTAGAGCTCCGAGAATGAGAACACAACCAGTCCGATTCCAAGACTTTGAAGTTCGTCTTCCCCCATCGATCAGTCATCCTCCACCTGCCGCCAATCGAATTGCTTCCACGGTACATCCCCTCTCTCGTTATGTTACTGATAATAAATTCACTCGTTCTCACAGAGCTTTCTTAGCGGCCATTGTTACAAACAATGAACCAAAAACCTTTAAGCATGCAGCTCATGATCCAAGGTGGAGAGATGCAATGAAGTCTGAAATCAAGGCTTTGGAGGATAATGAAACGTGGTATCTCACAGATCTTCCAAAAGGAAAAAGGGCGATTGATTCAAAATGGATATACAAGATTAAGTACAAACCCAATGGTGATATAGAGCGATACAAAGCTCGTATTGTTGCAAAAGGGTATACACAATTGGAGGGTGTAGATTTTCACGACACCTTCGCCCCGGTAGCTAAACTTGTCACGGTCCGAATCCTCTTAACCATGACAATGAAAAAACAATTGGATAATTCAGTAATTAGACGTGAACAACGCCTTCTTGCATGGCGACTTAGAAGAAGATGTTTATATGCAGATACCACAGGGCTTCAGTAAAGAAGGTGAAACTCGGTTATGCAAATTAATGAAATCACTCTACGGCTTGAAACAAGCAAGTAGGAATTAGTATCACAAGTTCACAACTGCTTTACGTGAACTTGATTTTCAGCAATCTCATGCGGATCACTCACTTTTTATTCATAAGTACAATCACACCTTTGTGGCAGCTCTTATTTATGTAGATGACGTTGTGATTGTTGGTAATGATGCCACCAAAATTGAAAGCACTAAATCCAGTCTACATGCACGCTTTAGTATTAAAGATCTCGGCAGCTTAAAGTACTTTTTAGGTATTGAGGTCTCGAGAACAAAGGAGGGTTTAGTCCTCAGTCAACGTAAATACACCATGGAAATTTTGGAGGACTCAGGCATGCTTGGTTGCAGACCCATCCGGTTCCTCATGGAACAAAACCTCAAGCTTGACAAAGGTGATAAAGAAGAGAGCATAGATGCAAACATGTATCATCGTCTGGTTGGGCGTCTCCTGTATCTTCAAGCGACACGACCAGACATAACTTATTCCGTTAATATCCTCAGTCAGTTTGTGTCAGACCCTAAACAAAGTCATTGGAATGCGGCGCTACATGTCTTGAGGTACCTTAAAACCACGATGGGCCAAGGTATTATTCTTCCACACGATGGTCCAGCAGAATTGGTAGCATATAGTGATTCAGATTGGTTGGGTTGTCCCTAATCTCGTCGTTCCAGAACTGGGTATTTGTTACTCTTAGGTGGTGCTCCGGTCTCATGGAAATCGAAGAAACAGTCTGTGGTTTCACGGTCTTCTGCTGAAGCGGAATATCGTGCCATGGCTACCACAGTGAGTGAGATTCTATGGGTCTGTTGGCTACTTTAGGAACTTGGTGTCTCTATTAACCAACCTACAGCTCTCTTCTGTGACAATGAGTCTGCCCGACATATTGCCCATAACCCAGTTTTCCACGAGCGTACTAAACACGTGGAAATGAATTGTTTCTTTGTTCGTGAAAGGGTGGAGTCCAAAGAAGTCATTCCGGTTTGGACGCACACAAGGAATCAGTTGGCGGATTTGCTTACAAAACCTCTTGGTGGAGATCAGTTGAAGTGTCTTTTGGTCAAGTTGAACATTTTGAACCTTCATGCTCAACTTGAGGGGGAGTAAAGGAAATAAAAGATATCATACGATTTTAGATTATTTATTTCCTTCCTTATGTATTCTAACTTTGGTATTTTCCCTTTTATTGATGGGGGTTTGTTTTGTCTTTCATATATATCACAAAGATCTGTTTTACATCTTTGTGCATTCAATCAATAAAATAGAAAATTGGTTCTCGTCCTATAATTTTCAATTGGTTCTTTCCGACCATTGGATCTTCAGAAACATCTACCCACGCACGAGCCAACAACATTTCTTCCTCCGTAGTCCATTGTCTTGGAGCCGTATTTCCACTTTTTGGGTTTGTCGTAGTCGAATTTCTTCTTGCTCCGAATCCATTTCGGGGATGACTTCGGTTTTGGTGTTAATTGGGGGAATCGGGAAGATGATCAAATAGATTGAAGTCATTTTCCATTTGAGATTGGAGTTGTGATGAGAAGTTCATTTGAGTTTGATTTTGAAATTGTGGTTGGTTTTGAAAGTGAGGTTGGTTTTGAAATTGTGGTTGATTTTAGAATTGAGGTTGGTTTTAAAATTGAGGTCTGTTTTGGACGTGATATGGATAGTAAACACCACCATAGTGTAAATTTGGAGGTGAGTATATCAGACGATCACTTTGGCTTTAGACGAAAGTAGGTGAAGAAGGTGAGAGTGGGTTTGTGTTTTGGGTGTGTCTTTTAGTATTTTTTTGGAGTTTTTGGATTGGAAATTGAAGCTATTTTTTCACAAAAATATTGTTGTTTGAGTGAAAAATTGAAGAAGATAAAGTGGTATAAAATGTGGTATGTAGTAGTTATTTATATATGGGTGAAATGAGGTAAAAATTGATTTTTTTTATTATTTTTTTTGAAAAATAAACAATCAAATTTGATCCAAAAACAGTCAATTTTTTTTTAACATTCCAAACTCTCTCCCTCTCTCTCATCGTTGAGTTTCTACCGAGTTGCTGAGCCGAACTTGGCACGCCGAGTCTACGTTTCCATTGCCGAGTCCTTCGTCGAACCACTCTAACTCAAAAACTTATCGTAAAGGTATAAACTTTTTTCGCATTTAATAAAGGGAAAACTGCAATAAAGTCCCTACATATTGGCCTCATAATCGATTTAGTCCCTATATTTTTTTTATTCAATTAAGTCACAAATACCGGTAATCGTATTCAATTTAACCCTTTGACTCGGTCAACAGGTCATCCAACTTTCAAAAATTACATTTTTGGCCCAGATTTCAAAATTTATTACAAATATGGTCCAAAATTTACACTTTTCGCCCAGATTTTAAATTTTGTTACAAATTTGGTCCAAAAATTACCCTTTTTGCCCAAATTTTAGAATTTTATTATGAATTCATCATAACTTTAGTTTTTTTTACAAATTTTTTTCTCAAAAAATTGTTTCTAATATGTTTTTTCCTTATAAAATCATATTTATACAAAAAAACGTATTTTCACATAAAAATCTTATATTTTCTATATAAAATTTTTTTAACAAGTTTTTTGTTTATGAAATATCTAGTTATAAAATATGTATTTATTAAGTATATATATATATATACAAATCCGTTTTTATAAAAAAAATGTATACAAAAACGTATTTTACAAAAAAGATGTATACAAACACCTATC